GCATTGTTAGAATTCGTCATCAGAGAGCGTATGACTCGAAAAAGGCCAGTGAACCATTTCTCATGCTAATTTGTTCCATCAGACTCAACCAATACTAAGTCCAAATAACTTTGTTTCTTTAAACATTTCGTAGACTTTCTTGACGTGGAGCAATTCTGTTAACTTTCTTTATAACATTCGGAGCAATTTTAGCAGCATCAGCAATCGTTTTCTTGAACTGAAGATGGAAACTTAAGTTTATAGCATTTGAATACTACAATACTTTATCGAGGTCTATAGACAGTCTCTAGAATGGATCACACAGAAAGAAACTGTTTGAAATTTGCTAAGCCTTTTACTGTCTTAGGGATGTCAATCGAGCTAGCCCAGCCCGGCCGGAACCCATAAAGTTTTTATATATTTGAGGCCAGCTCGGTCCAGCCCAAAAACATATCGACCCTATAAAGTCCGGCCCAACCTGAACATGGCTATTAAACTTTTCGTAACAGAGAGAGATCGCGTATATTTAACGGCTCTTTCGTAAACTTTCTCTCATCGTCTCTCTTCTCTCTCTAAGCGTGTGTCTCTCTTCTCTCTCTCTAAGCGTGTGTCTCTCTTCTCTCTCTTATACTTTCTTCTTCATTCAAATTCTAGGGTTTCTTTAAAACTTGAGAAAGAAGAAATTAAGTTAGAAAGAAGAAATTAAAGGAAGACATCGGGCAAGTGGTGGACAAGAAAGAAGAAATTAAAGTCGCATTGCACCAATGTCGTCGGAAAAGGAAAAGAAAGATGAATCGGCAGATCGTAACAATGGTAAATCATCTTCAAAACTATTAGGGTTTCTTCTGTTTTATTCTCTCTTTCTCTCATCCAATTGACTAATCGGATATAACCTCGTGATTCCTTCAAGAAGACTCGGGTGGTGATCTTGTAAGAGAGTGTACCTACGATGCTTACTACAAGATTATCAAGTCTTTCTTGATAAACTCTGCTTCACTTTCCAGCGTAAGATTAGTTAGATTGTCCAAATATTTCAATAGTTTTAGGTTACCCTTAACGATTGGTCATGTCTTATTTTGCAGGAAAGAATCAGGATTCTTAATGACCTGCAAAACAGGTTAAACATTCCACAGGAGATTCATGACGGATATATGGAGGAGCTTCAAGCTGATAGTCAAATCCAACGTTTAAGGTAACCTGTAATCCAATCCAAGAAATGTTGTGATCTTTTCTTTATCTCTCCTTTCGAAAGTGTTTACGGTAGTCTATAAAGTGCTTTGCTCTGTTTTTTCAGGAACTCTTTTCTGCAAACCTCTGAGGATCAGATTGTTGCTGGTGACAGACCCAGCAGAGCGTGTCGAGTCCGGTGGAACAACCCGGAACGGTCTGGAGATATTGATCACCGGAACCTCTCCTGCGTGGGTTGCGGTCAACGCTTTGAGAGACAAAGCAACCTCACGAGTCATCTCAAAACCTGTTTAAGGCACACCACCGAAGAAAGTTCAGGCCGATTGCGTCGAGTCCGAAACAAACCGGAACGGTTTCGTGGATATAGATCACCGGACTCTATCATGCGTACGATGCGGTCAACTTTTCGAGTCACAATGCAACTTAACACGTCATGAACGGAGGTGTGGTAAGAATATTGTGGAAGGAGTCGCTGATGATGAAGTCACAGCTGCTGCAACTATACTGATCATGTTAAGAAGGGCTTACGAAGCTGCACAAGAGAAGACGAAGAAGAAGCAGGATTGATATAGAATCACCAATCTTTTTTTTTTTTTTTTGGCTGCACACTCTTTGTAAACAAAATTCTGATTCGTTGCTTATGGCTGCCTCCAAAAGCTTGTTTTTTAGCAGATTCGTGATCCTCTAGAAGATAGTTAAGCATTGTAATAACTAATAACGTTAGCTTCATTTATTCCCATGCACGTCTCTTTTAAAGGCTGCTGCTAGGGTTTTTTTCTTTGAATTAATTGGCAGCGATTTCCTGGTTTCAGGGACAATGTACAGCTCTCTTACTTCGAACCATGTTCCAATCTAGCTTAATTTTACATTACGATAGAATGGAACATCTATATTTTGTCATCTTCTCTAGAGAACTAATCATCAGGCTTGTAACATGGAACATATATATATATATATATATAGTCCTCTTCTCCGATGAGTGTCTATATACTGTACATGTAGTAGAATATATATGTACATTCTCACTTTTTCTGATTTCACTTCCATTTTTAATGTTCTATATATAATCAAAAATGGAAATTTGCTATAGCAATCAAAATGATAAAGTTACATATTTCCTTTAATAAACTTATAATTAAAGTCTTGAGACCAAAACAAACAACGTATGTACAATTGTTATATTTTAAAATAGAAAATTGTAATTTTTTATTTTTATTTATTTATTAAAAAAACACAATGTCGATAGGGTTCTTTAGGAAACAATATTAGCTAAATTGATGCATCCGATAAGAACAAGAAATTAATAATACGAGAGAAACCCCCCCCCCCTTTTTTTTTTAAGCACACAAAAGAGAAACCCTAAGTCATATAAATTAAGGAGAAAAGAGAAAGACGACGAAAAAAAAGAGTAAGAGAAAGAGAGACTCAATAGAGATGAGTAATGATATGCAACAACATCTTATAGATGGTATGTTAATTTGTCCCCACAACCTCCGATGATTAGGGTTCTTGCATGAGTAGCTAGGGTTTATATATATATATATATATATATATATATTTCATGGTGTCAGATTCTTCTGCTTTTACTGATTCTGTTCCTCCTCGTCTTGCAGAAGATCCAACGAAACTACTCCAAGAAATAAAAGCACAAGCTTACTTCTCTGTCCGCGAGGCTTTCAAAACAGAAATCAACCTAATAGGAGCAGACGTAACACTTGTCACCTGTACTCACTACTTGTCCTTGTTTAAGATATTCTTTGTCAATTCTCTGATGAATCTATCATTATCTGGTGTCTTGTCTTGTTTAGAAGGGGTCTCAGTACGTGAAGGAGAGGTGTCAGTTCATGAAAAGCCTTGGGAAGGAGTTGAACATTGCCACTGAAGCTGACTTCTCCTTTGAAGACAAGATTAAACCAGAAGATCTGGCTCAAAAACGAAGGTTTGTCCTATAATCAAAAGCTTTTTTCTCTTTTACTTTCAACTTCCACGATGTGATCTCTGTCTAGCTTGTTTAAAAATGCAACTCTGAGTCCAACTTCTGTTCTTGCATCTGTCTTAAGCTCGGCTCTTGTCGGAAAATTTCTCCGTATAAAAAACGCTGCTGAATATCTCTGTATAAAAAGCTCTGATGATTCTCCATTGAAAGAATACGTCATCAGAGCGTATGACTCGAAAAAGGTGAGTAAAACCATTTTACTTGTTTCTTACGCTAATTTGTTCCATCAGAAATCAACTTATATATATATATATATATATATATATATCTGTAGAAATTATCTCTCGTAGAGAGCGTATGCCCGGATGAAGTGTTACTCTGGGTGGATCTCAGTGCGGTAAGTAAATCACTAACTGTTATATGTTATTATTATCTACTTTCATCAAATCAACACTCTATATATATATATCAGACATAAGCTGAAACATCTGATTTCTCAAACCGATTGCAGATTCCGCCTAAAGATGTTATGTGGGAAAATGGAGAAACGCCAAACGCATTTATCAGTGAAACTCATTGATACCCTCTTATTTGAGAGATCGTTTAGTATTTTTACGAGTTTTGATGTTGTTTTGCTGAAATTAGAGAAGAAATGGGTCAGCTTAAAGCGTAAACAAGATTTAAACACTTCTTTTGTAAAATGGTTCGCCTTAGCAAAAACTTTGATTCTGCTGAATATAGGTACGCATTGAAATATTTCTCCGATTCGGTTCCAGGACATAGTCACAAAACAAAGCAACTTAGGAATATTCATCAGTATTTTGTCATTCGTTACTGAGAATATAAACCGTGAAACTTTCATTATCTATCGTTCATTGACATTCATCTTAATACCACAGAGCTTCCAGATTTCATTAAAGGTGTGGATTATAGATCAATAATTGGTTTGTACGAACCAATTCGTATGTAGAGTTTGTTCTTTCTTCGGAGTATATAACTCACAATGGTTGTGGTGATATTAGTGCATCTATCACTGGTCACGGATCTTTGGAGTTGGCAGCGATTTCCTGGTTTCAGGGACAATGTACAGCTCTCTTACTTCGAACCATGTTCCAATCTAGCTTAATTTTACATTACGATAGAATGGAACATCTATATTTTGTCATCTTCTCTAGAGAACTAATCATCAGGCTTGTAACATGGAACATATGTATATATATATAGTCCTCTTCTCCGATGAGTGTCTATATACTGTACATGTAGTAGAATATTGTAAAATGTTGTTGGATTAAGCATCTATCATCCTATATATTCTCGTCTTTAACCTCTTAATATACTCGTACATAATTGCAGTCTTGAGACCAAAACAAACAAAATACTGTATGTACCACTGACCACTGTCATTTTTAAAAATAGAAAATTTTTATTTTTATTTATTTCTGTAAAAAAAACCAATATTGTTGATAGGGTTTAGGAAACAATATAGTTACCTAAATTGACGCATCCGATAAGAACAAGAAATTTAAATATACGAAATAGAAAACGAAAATTGAGTTCACCCTTAGGGATGAACCTCTTTATTCACTCCTTGTTTAGTAACCAATCAAAATATGCTATTTAATTTAAAATAAAAATCAATATTATTGATTTTATTTAAAATAGTATTGATTTTTATTTTAAATTAAGTGGCATGTTTTGATTGGTTACTAAATAAATGGGTGAATAAAGAGGTTCACCCCATAAAAGGTGAACCGAATAATTGTTCAGAGAAAACCCCCTTAAAACTTTTTATTAAGCACGCAAAAGAGAAACCCTAAGTCTTATATAAATTAAAGAAAGAGACGACGCAAAATTTTTTTTTTTTAAATGAGTAAGAGAAAGAGAGACTCACAAAAAGATGAGTAATGGTATGGAAAAAATACCCGATGTTCTTATAGAAGAGATCTTAGAGAGACTTGGTGTAAAATCACTTGTAAGATTCACATGTGTTTCGAAGCAATGGAACTCGATGATCAAATCAACGTACTTTGCGTCGACACATCTAATCAGAGCGCAGTCACGGAATCCGGATATCCTACTAGGCGGTTGCTCGTTGTATGAATCTCCTCGTTCAGCATCATATTCTTATCTAAGGACATTGGAATTAGGATGTCTAATCTCGAAAAAGATCCATACTATTCCAAAACCAAAAACATGTCTTGCAATGACCGGAAGCTGTGATGGTCTTGTTTGCGTCTACGATTTTCAAATAAAGATTTATGTCATCAATCCAGCGACGAGATGGTGTCGATCTCTTCCTCGAGCTAATTTTCAACAAATTAACCGCATTAGAGAAAATCTAACTGGTACGTAAAGTCGTTTCTCAGTATTATTTTACTTAATTAATTTGCTCACAGTACATACTAATTGTCTTGTTTTTCTCTATATACTGTAGGCTGTTACGCACGAAATTGTCTAGGATTCGGTAAAGACACTGTGACAAACAAATACAAGATGGTATGGTTATATAACTCTTTAGAACTAGGTCTAGATGGTCATCAAATTAGATGTGAGGTTTTCGAGTTTACCACTAATGTTTGGAGACATGTGATTGGCTCTCCACATCGGATCTGCTGTGATGTTTTCAAATCTCGGCCGGTATATTTAGATGGATCACTTTATTGGTTTAGTACTGTCCAAGTCAATGGAGAAACAATGATAATATATTTCGATCTTCACACAGAGGTTTTCCAAGTTATGCCGGAGACTCCAATCGCCCATGCATCTCCTTATCGCATTATCATGTGCAGTCTGAATAATCGTCTTTGCGTATCGGAGAATAATATCAACAGTCAAGATATATGGTCATTGAGTTCACAGAAGGTATGGGAGAAGACTTACAGCTTAAATCTAAACTTTACTTGTCGCTTTTTCGGTGACACAGGTTTTCCAATAACACCCATCACACTTTTCAACAAAACAGAGTTACTATTTCTTTACCCGGTGGCCACCTATCATTCCTTATTGGTACAAGATACTAGAATAGGTTCATTTTATTCTTCATATTACAGAACTTATGGTTTAGAACAAGCCATTTCATTTGTTCCAAGCTTGATCTCGATTTAGTTGAAGATTGTAACGTTGCTTTTTATTTTTTTTCCAACCAATTAAACTTCTCTTTCTAATGTAAAACATATTCTAATTCTCTTATATTTTTCACTCGTTCTCATTTCAAATTAGCATTTTCTTATATTCCGAGCTTGCTCTCTATTAAGTTGAGCATTTACGTTGTGAACTTCATGGCTTGAAACCTTAGTGATGACTTCTCCAATTTCAACTCTCAAAGATTATTTGAGATTTTGGTTTTAGAGTTTTCAGGGATATGGTAAAGCTATTATATATAGATGGAGTTTGGAAGAATGGGTTCATTCTATATTTCTATCTTCATATTACAGAACTTATCAAGCTATTTCTTGTGTTTCAAGCTTCATACTCGTAAGAGTGTCAATCTAAGCAAAACCATTTTTTTTTTACCGATGATCCTTGTTTATAAGTTGTTTTTCTTTTTTCAACGGGTTAAAGTTTTTGTTTTAGTGTGGAACGTTTTCTTCTTTATTGGATGAACATTGCATATTATCATATTCTAATCGAATGTTATGACGTTCACCAACTATTATATATATATATATTCTACTATATTCAGCCTTACTGATTATGGTTCATTAGCTTTTTTCCATTGTTCCTCCCTTTTTTTATATGGGGTCTAATTTACGCATTTCTTCTAGTTGTGTTTGTGTTTCCTAATTTGGCTTTGTGTTTGGTCTCTAGGTTTTATGTATTCCAAGTTGGCTCCCTCTCATAGGGCTTTAATTTCGGAGAGTTCGTCGGCTTAGTCTCCAAAAATATTTATCCTTGCTGGCTTTGTAAGTTTCAAGATTTGATTAATAAAAATCCATAGATGACAAAAAAAAAAAAATTAGAACCATCTATATTCATCAACGAACTTTGTCCAAGTCTCAACTAATTCCATTGGGCTTTAAATGAAATAAGCCCAGCAAAGAACCTGAGACTAATCCGAGCTAACTTAAAAACTAAACCAAAATCCAAGCCTGAACCAACTAAACCGAAGAATTAACAATTACGCGTATTTAGTTCCTTGAAAACATTTAAATCAAAACAATACTATGTATGGATTTTGACCATATTACTTCCTTTACAAATTTGATGATATCAAAGGGAGAGCTGAAATCTTTGCAATTATGTCTTCTTTATCTTTTTGGACAGCAGCAATAAAATATAAAATACAAGGTTTCGGAAAGTATTGAAACAAAAGGAACAACTCAACTGAATTTTTTTGAACCTACATTACGATAGAAAACAGAAAAAGAAAAAAGAATATGAAACGAAAACTATTTGCCAATATTCAAATCCGAACATTGAAAATTGAAGTTAAAAATTTAGGTGGTAAATATTGACATCTTGCGTCCTTGTCTCAGGCAATACATAAATTCATTATAGATAATATATTGCGTTGTTTAAAAACTTTTATGTTTCTGGATCGATCTAAATATCATATTTCGTAGTGTTCAAGTGCTAAACGAGATTTAATAATTTTTATATTCTAGAATTGTGAAAAGGTTTGATGGAGAAACCTTGTACAAAGATAACAACAGATATGCATGAAAATAGAAAACACTTAATATTTTCTTTTATACACGCTACTAATTAAGGTTGTTTTTGTGTCGTTGGTTATACATGATTTGTTTTCAAAAACGACCAATATCTAGAATCAGTTTGAAACATGACATGAAAAACTTTAATCATCATCATCGTATCTTATAAATATTATGATTTTAACAAAGAGGATGAGGAATACCACAAGTCGCTATAGCTTACTAACATTTTCGGAGTAAAAAACATTATTAAACGGGGGGTTTAAATAAACACAAAGACATTGCGACTCTTTCAACTTCCTGCAACAATCTGCCGATGGCTGGTTTCCTGCGCGAAAAGCTGGCCAACATGACTTGAGCTCTCTTAAACACTTGACTGTATCTTTATCAGAGATTGCTTTGGTTGGAACTAGAGATGACAGAATTATAAGCGTCACAAATGCGATGAGCTTTAGTGTTGTGAACTTCATGTCTTGAAAACTTAGTGACTTCTCCAATTTCAACTCTTTCAAAGATTATTTGAGATTTTGGTTTTAGACGTTAGAGCTCTTTGGGATGGTAAAGCCATTATATATGGACTCAAGAGTTTGAAAGAGTTTGAAAGAGTTATAAGGATCAAGACTCAAGAGTGTGTTTAGATAGTGTGCACGTACTATTTCCTTAATTACTAACTAAATAGTAATACATTTATGTATTTTTAATATAATTCATATATATGATTTTGACATGTGTGTTTTCATGTATTTAGATTGTGACACGTAATTAAAAAATGACTAGAAATTAAACCATTAAACAAAAATTGATTCAAATAACTACATACAATGTATGAATTGTTTTTTTTTTGGTAAAACTCTGTATGAATTGTTGACCTTATTATTTATTTACAAATTTGATATGAAATGGAGTGGAATCTTTTGCAAATGTTTCTTTCATGATCTTTCTGGTCAACCGCAGATAGTCAAAGATTTAATAGAGATACACAAATTTGAAAAATAAAAAGAAAAAAAAAATCGTAAATTTGGAAAGCTTCGTTAAAAGTCTTAAACTACAAAATAGAAAGGAAAACAAAAAACAAAAAAAACAAAGGATGTGAAATGGAAAATATTTGCAAATAACACTGAAATTTGGCATACAGTTGGGCCATAGGCCCATATAAAACGGGCCAAGGGAACAGTAGTTAAACTTTGTTAAAATTGATTCCGGCTGGTCAGAGGTGAGTGAAAAAATGGCCGATCATCTTCCGGAGACATTGGAACCCTTCTTTCACAGAGCCACCGAAGCTGAGGTATCATCAATTGATTCAAACTTTGGGTTCTTTTTGTTCTCCGTTTTTCTGGGTTGAGTTTCTTTTGGGTTTTTCTAGAGAGTTACCTCTGAAACTGGGATTAGATAATCGGTCATTGATGTTATGCGATGACACGAACAAAACATTTCTTTCCACATTCCTACCGTTAATCTCTCGATTGGCGTATTATTTGGCAGGAGAGATTGGCGAGGCTTGAATCTGCTCTTGCGTCGACCAAGATAGGTTCTTACTTGCCACTAATCTCTTGAATTCTGAAACAAGTGATTGACTCGGATCTTGAGTATTTATCTTCGTCTTTTTAAGTTTATATATCCTATGTTCCCAGACACTCCGGATGCGGAACTTGTGGAGAAGATCACCCAAATCCAGTCAAAACTCGAAGAAGCTAACGAGACGGTGAAGCAAGAACAGAAGAAGGTAATCTCTTACTGTACTGTACGCATTATTTTCATTACCTTATTGTTACTTGTGTTGGTTTGTAGCTTTGCTTTTGGAGTTTTTGACTGTGGATTCTATTAGGTGAAGGAATTGACCACTGAAAACGAGAAGCAAAGGTACCGTATTGAGCATCTTGTGCGCTCTCTAAAGGCTGCTGATGAGAAGCTTGCGAAGATCTCAAAATGATCCGATTCTTGGTCTCTTCTTGTTGATGCGTTTCTTAACATCCTCACAAAGAAATGATCTATTTTTTTTGCACTAGACACATTTTGATGAAAGCTTTCCTTGTCTTGTTCTTGGTTTCTACTGGTGTTTCTAGAGCTTTGCTGAATGTTACCCTGATCAGGTCCCGGAGATGAGCATGTTTGATTTGATCATACGTTTGTTTGTAACCAAGGGTGAACGAAAATGTCCTTCACCTTCCTCTCTCTTAATTCCGAAAAGATACGTTGAAACACAAAAATTTAGAGTTCATTGGGTTTTAGAGTTCATACAGTATCTATAATTGGCAATTCTGAGTCCAACTTGAGTTCCTGGCTCAAGCTCGGCTCTTATTGGAAAATTTGTCCTTATAAAAATTGCTGCTGATAAATTATCTCTTTATATATAAAATAAAAAAACTGATGAAGCCACATCAGAGAGCGTATGACTCGAAAAAGGTAAATAAACCATTTCTCATTCTAATTTGTTCCATCAGACTCAACCTACACTAAGTCCAAATATTTGCCTATAGAGAGCGTATGCCCGGATCAAGTGTTAATCTGGGTGGATCTCAGTAGAGTAAGTAAATTATCACTAACTGTAATGTTATTATTATCTAGTAATATCTACTTTCTCTATATTATCAGACATAAGCTGAAACATATGATTTCTCAAACCGATTGCAGATTCCGTCTAAAGATGTTATGTGGGAAAGTGAAACTCCTTGATACCCTCTTATGCACTCGTTTGAGATATCTTTTAGTATTTTTACAAGTTTTGATGTTGTTTGTTGATAATTAGAGAAGAGACGACGCAAATTTTCTTAAAAAAAAAAATGAGTAAGAGAAAGAGAGACTCAAAAGAGATGAGCAATGGTATGGAAAAAATACCCGATGTTCTTATAGAATATATCTTAGAGAGACTTGGTGTAAAATATCTTGTAAGATTCACAACTGTTTTGAAGCAATGGAACTCGATGATCAAATCAACATACTTTGCATCGACACATCTAATCAGAGCGCAGTCACGGAATCCGTTAATCCTACTAGGCGGTTGCTCGTATTATGAATCTTCTCGTTCAGCATCATATTCTTATCTAAGGACATTGGAATTATTAGGATGTCCAATCTCGAAAAAGATCCATACTATTCCAAAACCAAAAACATGTCTTGCAATGACCAGAAGCTGTGATGGTCTTGTTTGCGTCTACGATTTTCAAAAAGAGCTGTATGTCATCAATCCAGCGACTAGATGGTGTCGTTCTCTTCCTCGAGCTAAGTTTCAACAAATTAACCGCATTAGAGAAAATCTAAATAGTACGTCAAGTTTCTCGATCACTTTTATATTCTTTTGCAGTTTTGCTTGATTTATTTGTTCACATACTACGTACGTAATTTTTTTTATTTATATACGTAAATATGCTTTGTATTATTTCACTAGTATTGCTTTGGTTAATAGTTAATACTTAATTGATTTGTAGGAAAATCCAAACGAAGTTGTCTAGGATTCGGTAAAGACACTATGACAAACAAATACAAGATGGTATGGCTATATAACTCTTTAAAAGTAGGCCTCAAACTAGATGCGAGGTTTTGAGTTTACCACTAATGCGTGGAGACATGTAATTGGCTCTCCACATCGGATCTGTGATGATTTCAAATCTGAGCCGGTATATTTAGATGGATCACTTCATTGGTTTACTGTCAAAGTTAAAGGAGAAACGAAGATAGTATATTTTGATCTTCACACAGAGGTTTTTCATGTTATGTCGGAAATTCCGATCGCCCATGCATCTCCAAGTCGCATTATCATGTGGAGTCTGAATAATCGTCTTTGCGTATTGGAGAAGAAAATCAACAGTCAAGTGATATGGTCATTGAACTCACACAATGTATGGGAGAAGACTTATAGCATTACTTTGAACCAGAGCTGTGCAAATCTCTAACTACGAGTGGACCAATATTTTAAAAAGAAGAAAAAATCACAAATACGCACCTGGGAAGAGTCGAACCTTGACAAGTCGAACCTTGACAAAGGTCAATCATAACACTAACACGTATTTACTTATTCAAAAACCAACTGAACTAACTTAAACTTTAGAAATTTGGCCAAAAAAAAAATTTAACTCCTATAGCCTCGAAGCACATGCTTCATTAGCCCTGTGCTCTGGCACGGCTCTGCTTTCAACTATTATGATGACTCAGGTTTTCCAGTAACACCCATCACATTTTTCAACAAAACAGAGTTACTATTTCTTCTTTACCCGTTTACCAAAAATCCTTGTTTATCGGTACAAGATACTAAAATAGGTAATTCATTATATTCTCCATATTTCATTACTTATGGTTTGGATCAAGCTATTTCTTTTGTTCCAAGCTTGATCTCTATTTAGTTGAAGATTGTAACGTTGTTTATGATATTTTTTTTCCAACGAATTAAACTTCTTATTCGAATGTTATACATATTCTTATTCTCTTATCACACGTTCTCATTTCAAAATAGCATTTTCTTATATTCCGAGCTTGATCTTTTAAGCTGATTTTTTTTTTTTTGTCAACGGGTTAAATTAAGTTTTCTTATATTGCTAAGTTTAATCTGAAGGCTCATATTGGGTTTAAGGTCTAAACAGACATCTGAAGTCTGAGAGATGTTTTTTCCACAGCTTGAATATCAACCATTCATTTTACAACAAAGAAGAATATAAATTCTCGAAACGAGCAATCTTTGTTTTTAGGCGACGACCAAAAAACTTTATTTCATATCCAAAATTGGTCCAAAGAATGGGTCACAGTTCCACAACCATAGAACGTTAAAGAAAAGAGAATAACAATTCCAAAATAAGTTTTAAGGAAATCAAGAGATTGGGTTGGTGGACACACAAAGACAAAATAATCAAACCCACACACCCAAACTGTTTATAAAACAAAAAATAATAAGAAAAAAATACCGGCAAACGCAAGACGTGTTAGATTTATACATATTGAAATCAGATCACTATCCCGGAAATTATATCAAAAAGAAAAAAATCATAATCAAATATAGAAAAATGATGTAGCGATCACGAGGAAGTGGGTCAGGCAGAGTCAGATGGACCAGAAGGAAGCAGCTCATAGCCATCGTGATGACGGTTCGACTCAACCGGTATGCATTTAAGACCAACGGCTAGAATCATACTTACGGATCCAATCAGAATGCAGAGAAGCCAATGTTGCCAGCTCAAAGGAACAGTGCTTGCAAATGCTCCAAGGAACTCAACAATGATCACTTGGAATCCAACTGTCGCAGTCATCACAGCAACAAACACCCAACTGTTGAACATTCCTTTAAACACGTTTATCTTCTCTATCTCTCTGCTGTTTACCTCGTTAAACACCTGTTTTGTGCAAAAAGCATTTTTAGTGTTGTTATTTTCAGAAACACTTTTTTCCCGTTTTTGTGGTGAATGTTGTTATTTCTGTTTTTACCTGGCAAAAGACAAAGGAGTTGAAGATGATGGTGTTAAGAACGGCTGTTGAATCTGGGCCGGTGAGGTTGAGTATTTGTTTTCCAGAAAAGTTGAGGATGCCGAGAACGATTAACTGATAAATGCTCTGACCAATGATGTTTCTCCACATGGCTCTGGTGATGAAGCTTGCAGTTCTACCAATTGGTTGACGTTTCATTAAACCTTCGTTGGGAGGTTCGGTCGCTAGAGCCAGTGCACCGAGCGTGTCCATGATCATGTTGACCCAAAGCAACTGCACCGCAGTGAGTGGTGCAGATCCTGAAAAGGTGTAAAACAATAATTGGTGAATCTGTTCTTAAAAATATTGTGCGTGTATTTTGATTTTTAGTTACCTGTGATGCAAGCAGAGACAAAGTTGATGATCAGAGCAACAACATTAACAGTTAACTGGAACTGAACAAACTTCTGGATGTTTATATACACAGCACGTCCCCATCTCGCCACATTCACAATCGTTGCAAAGTTGTCGTCCATTATGATTACATCAGCATTCTCTTTCGCAACCTGTGTATCCCGAGGAGTTTTAAAATGAGAGAACATTCAAATTTGTAGAACATGCAACGCTACCGAATTCCAGTGATACAATATAATCAGTAACAAAGGCTAACCTCGGTTCCAGCTATTCCCATGGCAAGTCCAATGTCAGATTCATGCAATGCAGGAGCATCGTTTGTTCCGTCTCCAGTCACTGCAACTACCTCTCCAATTTTCCTCAAATTGTTGACTAGTACATGTTTGTCCAACGGCAAAGACCGAGCCATCACCTGAAGTTAGAGAACAAAACAAAAAGGATATTCTAAGATGCTCTAAACATTTCAAAAGAGAGATGAGAGGATTAACGATCTGAATCAGCACCTGAATTTTGGGCAAAATGGTCCTCATTTCATGAGGAGGCAAATTACGGAATTCTGAACCTTCTATAGCTACACCTCCTGCTGTAAGTATTCCACATTCCTTTGCAATAGCTTTGGCTGTGCTTAAGTTATCACCAGTGACCATACGAACAGTGATTCCAGCAGCTTGACAAGTCTGAACGGCTTCTCTAACACCAGGGCGAACTGGATCCTTGATTCCAACAACTGCAACCAATGTGTAGCCACCATCAGGAAGATCCCCACTGGGAGCTTCATCAAGATCTGTGTAAACCAAGCAGAGTGTCCTCAGAGCCTCTGAAGCAAATCCCTCTATGACTTCAGAGATATTTGCAATCTTTTCTTCAGATAACGGAACAGATTCTCCGTTTGAATCCAAAACCTTCTCGCACATTTTCAAGACAATTTCAGATGCACCTTTGCAGAAAGCGCGTACACTGCCACCAGAATGAGACGTAAGAACAGACATTTTCTTCTTGTCTGAGTTGAAAGGCTCGATCTTGAGTATCTTATGTTCTCGGCGTTGCGTGTCAACATCACCGCCCAAAAGCAAACCAAATTCCAGTATCGCCCTTTCTGTAGGTGATCCCAGGATCTGGGTTTTTCCTTCCTTATCCTTCACGACTTCAGAACCAGTGTTCTGAAATATGGCCTGTATAAGAATATTCTGAACTTGTTCAGATAGGTTCAACTGGAAGTTTTCCTCCTGCCTCTCCTTGATATTTTCACATATCCAAACTTTGTTGACTACCATGTGGTTAGTGGTTAAGGTCCCTGTCTTATCCGTGCAAATGCAGGTAGAAGAACCCATCGTCTCACAAGCAGCCAGATGCCTCACAAGTGCCCTGTCCCTCATTAACTGCTTCATGGCAAATGCCAGACTTAAGGTCACGGCCAAAGGTAACCCTTCGGGAACAGCAACGACTATGATTGTTACAGCAATTGCAAAGTAGTCAAGCAGTTTCAGTGCATCTTCAGAAGACCACTCGGTGATACTACCAGCAGTGGCTTTCTCCACAACGAACCTTATGCACAACACCACAAATGTCAGCACTGCAAAGCCTAAACCAATCTTACCAATGATTGTGGCAACCCCGTTTAGCTTCACCTGCAGAGGGGTCTCATCCTCTCCACCTTCACTTAGAGTTTCCATCAACTTTCCCCACTCAGTCCTCATACCAACAGTTGTCACCAGCATTTTTGCAGAGCCGTTTTGGACTTTGGTTCCTGAAAGCAGAAACGGCTTCTCTTTATTCACGTGTGATGGTTCACTCTCTCCCGATAAGCTTGACTCGTCTATCTCAAGATTGTATCCGGAGACAAAAATCCCATCAGCTGGAACTCGATCCCCAATAGATAAATGAACCACATCTCCAACAACCAAGTCATCAATGGAGACCTCTTGTCTGTTCCCATCCCTGGTGACTTGAATATTAATCTTCTTCTTCTCTCTATCCAAATCTCTGAACTGCAAAGATTGCTTGTAGTCACTGATAGCAGTAACCATGACCACCAAGATTATACTTAGCAAGATTCCCGTCCCATCATACATGCCCTTTGGAAATCCTTCAGTGGCAACTCCAACTCCTATCGATACTACAGCGCAGACCATAAGGATGATAAGAGTAACATCTTGAAGCGCTTCCCAGACAAACGTCAAAAATGATCTGGCTGGTTTCTCAGCATATCGGTTTTCCCCATAGATTTTTTCTCTGATGTGTATTTCACTCGAACGGACACCTTCAGTGAGAGATACAGACACTTTCTGAGCAATTCCTTCAGCTCCTCCACTGTTCGTCAGGCTCTTTGTGTCATGATTGCGAACCATAGAAGCAAGTTCATCTGCTTCGACATAAAATCCCGCTTGTTTGACCTCATCAGTGAGTTTATATTCTCTCCGTGAACCAGCTGAATAGATACAAAATGAAGAGAAAAGGATTACAAACCATAAATCCCCAGTCACCCACCAAATTCTGCAAATCATGCATATCTGAAACTCAAACATTGCATATCTTACCATCAATGAACTGAAGAGCTGCCTTTTGAACGTAGAAGGCAACCCGTATCTTTTCCTGGTTATGAAATAAGGAAAATGTGAGCTGGTTGAAAAAAACTAGAACAGCTAAATCGTTGGTCACATAAGAAAGAACAAAACAGACATTACTCTTTATGGAAACAACGAAACATTCCAACTGTCATAAAGATTGATAGCTTATTTTGTTTGCATTATGCTTTCTTAGGCAGAAGAGGGTATTAATTAATCTTTCCTGCAACACCAGCTAACTGTTGTTGTATGCCAAAGTTTCAGTGATCCAACAAGCGACAACCGGAGCTACCATAATTAAATAATGTCTTTGCCTCTGAAACTAAAACTCAAGGACATTTGATATATCTGCAAGAGTTATTTTAGTTTGCTCAATAGCCATTTGTCATGATTATAGTCAAACAGCCTACTATTTTATTCAAATGTTGGTTTAAAAGTCTGTTGATGTTTCTATTTCAATAGGAGAATAAAAAATGACCAAAACTGAGAAGAAAAAGACCAAAGGACTTAAATTCAAAAAGATT